AAAATAATCCAGTCAAAAAATGGGCAGAAGAGCTAAAAAGAAACTTCTCTGAAGAGGAAATGCAAATGGCCAACAGGCATATGAAAAAATGTTCAACATCACTTGTAATCAGGGAAATGCAAATCAAAACTACCATGAGATACCATCTTACACCAGTGAGAATGGCACATATTAAAAAAACTAGCAACAACAAATGTTGGCGAGGTTGTGGAGAAAAAGGAACTCTCCTGCACTGTTGGTGGGAGTGCAAACTGGTCCAACCACTATGGAGAGCTGTGTGGAGATTTCTGGACCTACTAAACATAGAGCTTCCATATGATCCAGCAATTCCACTCCTAGGTATTTACCCAAAGGACACAGAAACATCAATTCCAAAGAGCACCTGCACTCCTATGTTTATAGCAGCACTGTTTACAATAGCTAAGCTTTGGAAACAACCCAAATGCCCAAAAATAGATGACTGGATCAAGAAGATGTGTTACATATACACCATGGAATATTACTCAGCATTCAAAAAAGATAAACACATGCAATTTGCAGCAACATGGATTGTGCTGGAAGGGAACATGCTCAGCGAAATAAGCCAGAAAGAAAAAGAAAAATACCAGATGGTCTCACTCATAGCAGGAATCTAGAAAACTTAAATAAGGGACCAAGAAAATGAATAACTATAAGAAAGTGAAAATCAAAATCAACAAACAACTATGAACTAGAGACACTCTATGGGAAGTGGGGGGAGGGGAGGGATTGGGGTCAAAATAAGGGGATTGCAATGGTATGGGAAATATAAAAATAAAATTTATTATTAAAAAAAAACAACAAAAAGACACCCTATTGAATAGGAGGAAAATTTTTGCACATCATACATTTGACAGGGGGGTTAATATCAAGATCTACAAAGAACTCATACAACTCAACACAAAGAAAAAAACTAACAAACATAAAACAAGTAACCCAATCAAAAATTGTCAGAAGAGCAAAATACACACTTCTCTAATGAAGACATATAGATGACCAACCAGCACCTCATTCACTGTAGCACTTTTTACAACAGTTAAGCTATAGAAAAAATTGAAGTGCCTAAAGATAGATGAGTGGATTAGGAATATGTGGTATATGTAAAAGAAGGAAAAGAACACCTGTACCCCTATGTTAATTGCAGCACTATTTACAATAGGTAAAACCTGGAAACAACCCAAATGTCCAAAAATAGATGACTGGATCAAGAAGATGTGGTACATATCACAATGGACTATTATTTAGCTATCAAAAAAAAGATAAACTCATGCCATTCACACAGCAACATGGATGGAACTGAAGGAATTATGCTCAGTGAAATAAGAAGGAAAAAGAAAAAAAAACAATGGTTTCACCTATAAGAGGAATACAGGCAAACCAAAACAAACAGACAATTATAAACCAGAGACATCCTGCAGGGGAAGAGAAGGGAGAGGGATTGGAGGGAGGGAAGGAGGAGCATAGGGGACTGTAGTGATGGTGCACGTGAACTGATGAAGGAAATTCTATGGGGACTATATCTGAGGGTAAAAAAAAAAAAAAGCAAACATTGTTTAAAAATAAATGTAAAATATATAAAATATATACAAATTTTTTTTCAAAAAGAACACTACTCAGCTTTAAAAAAAGACAAACTCTTAAGATTTGTAACAACATGAATGGAACTAAAGGAGATAACACTAAGCAAAATAAGTCAGAAGGAGAAAGACAAATATTAGACAGTGTTGCTAATATGTGGAATATAGAGAAACAAAACAAAGGGTCAGAAAAACCAAGCCAATAATAAACCCTAGAAATCTGACTGTAGAACTGAAACTACCAGAGGCAAATGGGGGAGGGCTAATGGGAAGGGGCCAGAGTGGACTATGTTGGAGTACTTTCAGTGCCTTGGTGGCAGGTGTGGTGTGGTAACCTCTAAATTATATACAATGCTGTAAACCATTTGCATTTAAGAATGCAAAAACACCAATTCAAAGGAATATATGCATTCCTATGGTCACTGCAGCACTGTTTACAAGAGCCAAGTTATGGAAACCATTTAAGTGTCCAACGACAGATGAATAAAGAATATGTAGCATATAAAAATGGAATACTACTAAGCTGTCAAAGAGATGAACTCTTGCCATTTGTGACAACATGAATGGAACTAGAGGGGATTATTCTAAGCGAGTAAGTCAGAAGGAGAAAGAGAAATATCAGATGATTTCACTTATATGTGAAATATAAAACACAAAGCAAAGAAACAGACAAAAAGCAAACCAAAATCCTTGAAATATGACAATAGAACTGAGGCTACCAGAAGGGGAGGATGGGAGGGTGGGAGCACTGGGGCAGGGGTTCAGTGAACTATGGTAGAAGATTATGTTGTTTTAATGGTGGGTGTGGTATAACACACATTTCTAGAGGTGTGAACTTACACCTCTAAAACATATACTTTATGACAAATCAACAATGCTTCAATAAACACGTTGAAATAATCAAATTGAATTGAAAACCAAAAGAAAAATATTTCAAAAGAAAACTATTTTACATTTAATTTTTATGTTTTATATTAAATTGTAACACTCAAGATGGTTAAAACTGCATGCTCTGTACTGAAAATAATTGCAAAAGAAGAGTTATAGTTTGGGCCTCCCCTGGTGGCACAGCGGTTGAGCACTGGGCTGTGAAGCTGCCCGCAGCCTCTGCAGCGCCGGTTCGATCCCCAGCCACTGACAAGGGTCCCACGTGGCGCGACAGACCTCTCCTGCCGCGCCCGCTACTCCCCTCAGCGGTGTACTTTGTCAGTCTGCCTGTTCTGTTCCCCATTCTGGCTCTGGTGAATTCTCTCACCCTCCCATGCTTCTGACTGTACCCAGTGCTTGCATAAATAAATAATTAAATAAATAATTAAATAAATCTTTAAAAAAAAGAAAAGAAAAGAAAAAAGGAAGAGTTATAGTTTGCTATGGTAACCACTTTGAAGAGAACCAAGTATTTTATGATCAGAAATCAATGACTAGGTAAAACTGGTATGTTTTAGGAAAAAGGTAAATCATTAGGTCACAATGGACAGTAAGCTGAGCCAGTCAGCAAAGCAGTAACTGCCTAAAGGAGTCGGGGTGCATGCTGCCAGACAGCATGATGACACAGCGTAGAAGTGGGATCATGTTGTTGTGCTCAACATCAGTTATCTTCTTATTAGATGGACATGCTCAGTTTGAGGAATATGGAGAGAATCTGGAATAGATTCAAGATATGAATTAAAGCAATTAAAAAGCTCAATACTAAGATGATGGCAGTATCCAAAGAGGCCATGATTATCCAATCTAGAGCCAAGATGTAATGGAAGCAAACTGTGGCCCAAATGCAACATTAAAAGCTTATCCAATTAAAAAGCTGCGAGCCTCCGAGAGAGAACAAGAGTTTAAGTTCCTAAAATATAAAAGGAATACTTTAAGTTAGATATAATACTTTGTTAGAGTTCTGGCTGCCCAAACACCCAAAGACGACTGTATGGTCTTCCTCAGAAAGAAAAAGCTGAAGAATCTACCCACCTGTATGAATCCCATATCCTTTTCTTATGGCAACTGCATGAATTCCAGGATAAACTAAGATTTCTTTAACTCCAATGTTAAGCGCAACATGCAGGGCCTCCCCGGTGGTGCAGCGGTTGAGCACTGGGCTGCGAAGTTCTGCAGCGCTGGTTCGATCCCCGGCCACTGGGCGAGGGTCCCACATGGCGCGCAGACCTCTCCTGCCGCCCGCTGCTCCCCTCAGCAGTGTACTTCGTCACTCTGCCTGCTCTGCTCTCCCCTCTGGCTCTGGTGAATTCTCTCACCCTCCCAACCTGCGCTTCTGACTGTATCCAGTGCTTGTATAAATAAATAAATAAATCTTTAAAAAAAAAAAAAAGAGCAACATGCAGAGAAATGAAAACCACTATTACCTGTGTCTATAAAAATGTACAAAGTGAAACCTGAAAGTTGCCTTGCTATCACAAATCCACTGAAAATGATGCCAGGCAAAACTGAGACATGAACAGGGATTCAAACTGTTATGAGAAAAAACCCATGGTGCACATTCTAAAGCTTTGTGCCTAACCATGCACACAAAAGCCAAGTAATCAAACTCTCATGTGCTCAAAGATTTTTAATTGGTGTGAAATTCAAAGGGTATAGTGAGGGGTGAAGAGGAGCAGGGGAGAGTAGGATTTCAAAGTATAAACTCTCTATCAGACTCTGACATCAACCATCCCCTCATGAGCAAAGGTTCAGTCAAATAAGCAGGGTCCAAATAGAAGCAGCCAAGGCCCAATGGGAAAGATTCTAGGAGAACAAATCCAAGGGAGCGCCCAGCATGAAAAACAAACAAGAGGTTGCACAGGGCCCACAGGGCTGGCAGAGAAGGAGAGAACCAAAGTTCAAAATGTGCCACCCAAGCTGATTCCACCATGAGGTCAAGGCTGCTGGTCTCCCCAAGGAGTGGGTTTGTGCTGCCTGCCAAAGCACTAAATCCAGAAAAGAGAGATGGGGTGCACATATGTTCAGTGCTTTAAGTTCAACAAGGCCACTCAGCACCACTGCCTTACCCCTCCCCATCCCACTCAGGAAGTCAGGTCCATGGCGTGCCAGGAGTTGTAATGCTTGTTGTGCAGAGATGAGGGAGGAGTTATTCGGGATTTTACCAGGTAGAATCTGGTTCCCATCACCCCAGCCTGACTGACTGGTCCCTGGCCATTCCACTGCATCCTCTCACAGAAGGACCCCTCTGCTCTATCTAACCTTCCACAACTTTAGTAATCTAAAACCTCAGCAGTATGCTTTAATTGGCAAGTCATCCTACGTCTGTTTCAGAATTAATCTGAAATGTTTAACGTTCACCTGTTTTGTATACTTCCCATATTAAATTTGATATGGTCACACTTCCCCCCACCTACCTTAGTTTAGAATTTTCTGCTCGATGCTCACAACCTGAAAAGCTAGCTTTTGTTCCCTCTTTACCTTCGGTGCTGATAAGAACATGTGGTCCACTCCCATAACTAAGGCTTTTAATCTTCTTTCCACAGAAAGCTTCTAGCTTTTTAGGGACAAGAGTACTCTGGTTATCTCCAGTTCCTAGACAGTTACTATAGTTCAATCCAAATACAAAGACCTAGAAAAAAAATAGTTCTGGGTCACTTGATTTAATTTTCTCTGAAAATAAGACATACTAAAGTTCAGTTTGATACCTCAGTAGGTAGGAGATTGACAGGTTGTTAAAAATTCAACCTCTGCTGACATTAGTTAAATTTTAACATATTTGACGATATTATGAAATTCAAAGAGTAGAGGGTATTAAAACAAGAAACTTGAGAGAGAAATCATATCAAAGACACTGAATTTCAAGTATTTTTTTAATCCCCATCTTTTCTCACTCTGCAAACTATCCACTTTAAAGCCCAACTACAAAATAAGTCCTAAAATTAAACTCTGGACTTTGAGAGTCTTACCTCATCATTGTCAGTAACATACAGGGCTTCGTTTGCTGAAGTGCCAAAGACACATGCTTTCCGAATAGATGCAATTTCTTGAGGTGAGAGCAGAGTGAAGATTGGCCATTTCCCTACATCCACCATGACTCTGGCTATAAGCAATTCCTATAAATAAGCTGGCATTTCTGCTGTAACAAACAAAAAGGATTCCTACTGAAAAGTAAATACCAAAAAAAACAAACAAAAAGGACACTGCTTATAAAAGGCAACAAAGCTATCGCAGAATAAACTACCCACCTTTGGTTTGGTTAAGTGGATGGCTCACTTTCCTCAGCAATGTTCCAATGCTTCCTACACCTTCTCTCCAAGGCCTTCTCCTGTAATGGGAGGAAAAATTGTTAGAACCCACTGCTTGCCCACTGACAAGTCTGCCTATCTGCTACATACAAGCTTGCATACAACCAAAGGCAGACAATGGAGCAAAGACATGCTGACTGTATGAAAGCAAGGCTTCTTCTCAGGTATTTTCCCCCGAGGGTATTAGGATAAAAACGGTGACAACATTAGTTTGTCTAAGGTAGCTAATTCTCAAAGAGGAGTCTGTGAGTGTGATAAAAATCAGAATGTTACCTTTCTACCTTTCCATCCTCTACTACCACTCCCAGGATGCCCTGAAAGACCGCTATCTATGGTAGGAAATCACTGCCACAGAGAGCCGCTATTTGTCTAATGATGGAAATAGGACAGTCCTCAGATAGTTGAGAGGCCATGTTTTTATTTATTTATTTATTTGTTTGCTACATGCACTGGGTACAGTCAGAAACGCTGAGAGAATTGGTACACTGCTGAGGGGAGCAGCGGGCGGCAGGGGAGGTCTGCACGCCATGTGGGACCCTCCTCCGGTGGCGGGAGCAGCCGGGGATCGAACTGGCGCCGCACGGGCAGCTTCGCACCCAGCGCTCAACCGCTGAGAGGCAAAAATATTTAAACGCACTAGCTTAAGGATTACTATATGAAACTATAAAAAGAAATATTATATTCTGTTCCTAATTTACATCACCACATTCCCTACATGTATTTTATTTCACAGACCGTATTTTATTTCACATTGAGAAAAGTTATCATATGAATAACAGGAAAGACAAATTCACCCTAATTCTGGGATTAGAACTGATGACTAACCACCTTCAGGCAAAAACAACTAGCTAACTAGTACCCTGTAAAGTAGAAAGATACATAAATTTCCATAAAAATCTAAACTTGATCTGTTTAAATTTTACACACAGAATCCTGGTCACAGTTCTAATTCTTCTAGTTCAGAAAGCATTTCTCAAAATTCCAGGGGACTGCACAAACACAAAGCACCCAATCGTGCCAAGTGAGTTTCCATTCTGCCTCCCACCGCTGGAACTGAAATAGAACCAAACAATTGATAAATGCAACCAAGGTTTCCTAGTGAGGTCCAGAGCTCTAGAAATTCCTTCCGACTCACTCTCTTCTCAGACCTCTAAAAATAGCCAAGAGAGGAAGAAGGCTCAAGACAAAGTCTTTCTGGCACCAGCACTTCCGACAGTACCTGCAGAGAGGGATTTGGGCTTGAGCAAGCTCAGCCAAAGCCTCAGTTTCTGCCATCTAGGGAGATTTTTTTCATCAACCCTACCTTGAATGACAAGGATTAGGTGTCTGCTGTGCCCCAAGTTTACATCACCTAGTCAGTGATCACGAAACACCACCAGGACAGGCTATTCCTGTCACAGCACAGCCATCCTCCAGGAACACATTTGAATGTTCTGAAATGTGTGTTTGTATTGTTGCAATCACAACAACAACTAGCACCTCATGAGCACCATATCCCAAGTAATGATCTAATCCTCACTTTACAAAGATTTTAAGAATTTGCTCAAACTATTAAGTGGCAGGATCAGGACCTGATGCCATGTAATCCAGAGCCAGTGTCTGCACTCTTCAGCTATCCACTTCCTCTTTATGAGCCTATGTGCCATCCTTATACAAAAAGTCCCATTTTTTACTACACTTTTTTTGGGGGTCTATGTCATTACTTTTGTATTAGAAATATAGGCTCTCCCCCCTCAGGTGTTGTTTGCACATGGCGCCCAACACCAAGGCACACACAGGGACTGTTGTTCTTGATTTGTAAGCATTCTTTGTATGGTAAATGCTTTTAGGAGTAACACAAAAGATGCCCCCTTCACCCCAAATGGCCTGCCTTATGCCTCTTGCAAAACAGACAAGGAATGGAGACACAAGACGTGAAACAGTGTAGTTGTCTTTAAGCAGGTAGATAAATTCCAAGAAAATCCAGAGCATACTTTCCTAGAGCATATTTTGTTAAGTTAGTCTTCAAAATTTCATGTCTTACATAATATGGAATTAAATTTGAAATAAATTTTAAAAGGGGGAATAACTAAATTAGCTAAAAATATAAGATTAAAATTTAAATTTAAAATTAAAAATTAAACATTTAAAATTTAAAATTAAAACAAAGGGGTATTACCACTCCAAATCATACAATTTCCTGACAGCAGTGTAATTATTTTGTAATCATTTATCCACTAAAGGTAACTCTGCCCTAAGGGTTGGTAATCTACTTTAAAAAATGAAGTTAATTTTCATAATGATGGTTTATTACATAAACTGAGATTTACCGATTGCTAAATTACTTGGAGCTTTACTTTACAAGCTTTTTCTCTAAAGACTTGTAGTTTAAGAGTCAACATAAAAACCAGGTCCTATAAATGACTTTCCAACCAAAAGCCTTGGCATGATCTAAAGGATTAAGAGTTCTAGGCCTGTGTTAGTTTTCAGGTTTACTTTTAATCAGCCAGTGTGGCATGCTACGTACCTTTCTGAGGCTTTTTACCCATCTGTCAAAATGTTAAAGGATTAAGAGTTCTAAGGCCTGTGTTAGTTTCAGGTTTACTTTTAATCAGCCAGTGTGGCATGCTACGTACCTTTCTGAGGCTAGATTTTCCAAAAATCTGTCATGTAAAAATTTATAATTTTATGTTTAAGATGTAATGAAGATGGGGGTGAGGGGTACAGGGAACTTCTGAACACAAAGAACAAAAGCGATAATGCTGAAGCAAATACTCACTCCTAGCAATACAATCAAGCAAAGCAAATAAAGAGCAGGAAGGAAGGAATTAACAATAATCAAGAAACTGCTTTGCTGTAGATGCTTCAGCATTCTTGTTTAATTTTCACAATACAGTACTCTTGTAAAGAAGAGATCATAATCCATTCTTAGCAGATGAGGAATGAGGTTCAAAGGTGAAATGACATTCCAATTTCAATGAAGAAGTGACACAGTTAGAATTCAACCCCCACACATCTAACTCTTTCTTACAGAGAATATCAGTCCTGACACTCTCACCAAACAGAATGACCTGGTAAGTTCCTGGACCTGTAGTGCTCTGGAAATGCTGAGCCAGCCACGCCTTCATCTGCACCACAGACCGCTCATCCATTCACATATACCTGGCGAAGCTGACAAAGTGACAGCATGTTCAACAGTCAGGTTACAACCTATGCCATCTGTGGTGCCATTCACAGGATGTGCGAATCCAATGACTCCATTCTCTGACTGGCCAAGGCAGGTGGCACTGTCTCTAAGAAATTCTATGAGGAGGACCAAGGATGTGGAATATTTGTCATAAATAAAACATAAAAATCCAATAAAAAAGCTTCAAATACAAAGTAGTACTTTTAAATAAATGTGTTCCCCAATATGCCTCTGTGTAGATTTGCTTGGTTATATTGCATAGATGTCATTTAGTCCTTTATTCTTCCCAAAAAAACTAGAATGCAGATCCCTGAAGATCAAATATGACCTCAGTCCTCAAAAGAGCATGTGAGCCCAGATGCCTCCTTGGGTTAGTCAGCAAAGGTACAAAGAATGTTTTCATTAGACAACACAACCCAAGCAGCTGATGACATGAACAGGGTTTCCTCAGAATTCAGACATGTTTCTCTGAGAGATTCCTTGGAGATGTTAAAATCCAGGATGTGCTGCTATGTGTTGTACAAAACAGAGTCCTGGGCTTGGGCATGTAGGGTCTAAGACAGCACAGTATAAATGTAAATACGACTAACATTTTCAACTAATCAAAATTACCACCATTACTGCTAGCTACATTACTATGATATATGTATAATTACTCCATTTCCCTAGGCATCTTTGTTAGTGTTAAGAAAATCATACTGAGTATCATAATTCTATCAACTTCATCGATATAATGTTTGAGTCTCACAAAATTATATATATATTACTGATCTATCATAGAAAGCTAAAGCAGATTAAATCACTAAAAATTAACTATATTTAATCTGTTAAGAACCCACACTATATTTGAGAACTCTGTGGCTGACAATGAGTCAAAAATATAAGAATCAGGGCCTCCCTGGTGGCACAAAGGGTTAAGTCTCAGTACTATGAAGCTACTGGCAGCAGAATTTTGATACCCAGCCAAGGGCTAACCCACATGATGCAGCAGACCTCTCCTGTCTCACCTGCTGCTCCCCTCAGAAGTATATTTCAGTCAATCTGCCTGTTCTGCTCCCCACTCTGACGCTGGTGAATCCTCTCACCCCCACCTCCACACCTCTGGCCTGTACCCCAATTCTTATATGCATAAATAAATAAATCTTTAAAAAATAAATATTAATAATCTTGTTCTAACTGTATCGAATTCATTTTAAAGTAATATATAGTTAAATCATCATGCCAGAAGTGCCAAAAGTTTTACATGCTTCAAATAGTAACATATGAAGTTATTCTGTTGACATTGCAGGGGCACTGCTAATAGAGAAGAGTCTTAACCACTGGCCTGGCTTAGCCTCAGCCTCCTAGAAAAGCAGTGTGCCTTGGTAAGTAGTCAGCAGTGGGGAAGTATCTTAAAGAAGGTAACCCCCATGCTGTTCTTTCCCATGTTAGAGTGCATCCTAAAATGAAGCATCCTGAGGGGAAATGCTAACAAAATGCTAAACTGTATGTTATTCCCGTTAAAAGCAAAACAGAAACAAACACAAAAACACCCCCACAAAAACCCTGCACTCAGTAAGGCTCAGCTTTGTAATGAAGAAATATACACTGTATCATTACAATTTTTAAAATATAGTAAATCCAGAAAAAGGGATATACACACATCCCAAAATGTATTTTTCTGAATATACTGAGGCAACGTTTCCTTTGTATTGTTTAAATATATTCCAAAAGCAAATAACTTGTGACCAAAAAATAAACATTTTAAATGAAGATAAAATCTTAGTTATTTGAATGTTCATCCCATAAGTTATTAAAAGTTTTAAGAGGTATTTTTGCCTTATTCACAGCCTAGTGTGGCAGAGTATTTCAGAT